TATCGGGTAAGCCCAGGCTGGGGGCGGAGGCTCAAGCCTGTTTTATTTTTATAAATGCCGCTTCTTGCTCTGTGCTCTATATTACTAATTTATTTGCAGGCTTTCCCCCTCTAGTGAGGTTTTGAATTGGTTCCACCATCTCTGAGTACTCCGGTATATAGGTTTTACAGAAATTAAGGAGTCCCAGGATTTTTCGGACTTCCTTAACTGTCTGTGGTTTTTTTAACCCTTGAATTGCTTGCTTTGTCTATTGTGAGTGCCTTTTCTCCCTGTGATATGTTATGCCCTAGGTATAAAACTTGCTGCTGTTGCAATTGGGCTTTCTTCGGGCTTAATTTAAATTCTGCCTCGCGAAGATACATGAACAGTTTGTTTAGGGTTTTTAAATGGTCCTTTTCATTTGAACTGGCAATTAGCAAATAATTTACATACTGCAGTATCACAGTATTCCCTTTTAAAGGCACTTGTGCTATTACTTCTGCCATTGTCCTGTGGAATATGGAGGGAGAATTATGGAACCCCTGAGGTACTCGGGTCCAAGTGTACTGCTGGTCTCCTACTGTAAATGCAAATTTCTCCTGGCTCTCCTTTGCAAGGGGAATACTCCAAAATCCATTGGCTACGTCCAGGACTGAGAATATTAAATGTCCTGGTGTTAGCAAATTAAGAATCGTGGCAGGGCTTGCCACAATAGGATGTGCCTTTGGAGTCACCCGGTTAAGGTGGGTGTAGTCTATAGTTAACCTCCAGGTCCCGTCTGGCTTTCTGACGGGCCAAATTGGGGAATTAGTTTTGGAGGTGGTTTTTTTTAATCACCCCTCTGGATTTTAAATTAGTGACTATATCTTTAACTGCCTCTAAGGCTTCCGGTTTAATTGGGTACTGCCTGTGGGCTTTGTGAGTTGGTCCTTTTATAGATATAGGCTTTATGTTTACTAGCCCACATTCTTGTTTTTTGTTGCCCATACTTCAGGGTGAAGGGAACACAGGGTTTTTACTGGGCTCTCCCCCCACTCTGGTATTATTACTTTATTACTGGCAATTATGGCTATATTTTGAGATGATCTTTCCTGTTTGGACCCTTTGGCCCATTCAATGCAGCTAGCTCTGGGGTTGATTACTCCCCCGAGCTCCTTAAGGAGATTTATGCCGCAAATTGTGTCTCCTTGCTCGGGGCAAACCCAGATTTGACTGACTGTGACCATATCCTCGAATTTTATTTTTACTGGCTGGCTAAGGGTTGCTTTTAATTTTCTCCCTCCCACCCCTTCAATCCATATTGTTCTACGGGTGAGGGGGAGATTTTGGCTGGTTATTGATACCGAGGCTTTTGTGTCTATTAACATACTGCACGGTCGGCCCCCCACTCGTGCGTTAAGAAACATCCTGGGGTCGCCTTCGGTTCCAGCCACAGAGGCCGCTGATACCTATTTGCTAGCCAGGAGTTGGAGCAACTCCTGGATTTGTTTATTCTTATTTTGTTCTTGGGTACTAATTGTATTGGTTTTATTTTGCTTGTATGGCCACTGCCCTTCCTTACCCCCTCTGGGGTAGAAGCAGTTGTCCTGTAAGTGGCCGCTTCTTTTACAATTATTGCATGTTTTGATTTTATTTTTACTTTTACAGTCACGTGCCAGATGTCCAGACTTATTGCACGTGAAGCAGGTAGTGGTTTTGACTGCATGCACAGCTACCACTTCTTCAGAGGGGGCGGTTGCTGCTACCTTCCTCTTTTTTCTGTTTTTTACTTTTGTGGCCCATTTCATTACTGCTGAGTATGTTTCTCCCACTGAGATGCCTAATGCCAGGACTGCTTGGTGATCTGCAGACAGCCCCTCCTTTAGGATTTGAAGGAATACATCATGGTCTCGGGATGTTATATTCTCCAGACCTGAATAAGCTCGGAATGCATTCCATTTTTTTTCAGCATAGGACATGGCAGACTTTTCCTTCTGCTGAACCACAGACTGCAGAGCCCCCCAGTTAGTGGTCTGGGCTTCTAGAACAACAGAGAGTGCATTCCTAAATTCTGTTACAGTGCCTGCGTCTGGGTTTGGGATTCCTGCTGGTTCTTCAGCCTGATCCCCTCCTGCTGGGTTGGGGTTACGATCTTCAGCCCAGCGCCCTGTCTTCCATTTATTATCTAGATTCTTTTACACATCCCTAGGGCACTTGCACTTGACCAGGATGTGAACATCCTTCCTATGGAGGCCATGTATTTCTGTGAGGCCATCCAGCTTGTCCCAGAACTCAGTATTCTTGTTATTACGCTTGAGTTCAGGTAAATTAGACAGTAGTGCCTGTTTTTCCTGGGGGGTGAAGGGACGGTAAATTTCAGTTGTTTCTGTTCTAAGTCCCCTTACTGGCTCACCCTCCGCGTTAACGTTTCTGAACCTCCTTAACTGTGTTTTGATTGGAGCCATATGCTGTACTTGCTCCCCTGGGGCAATTAATGCTTGTGGTGCTCCTTTATTATCTCTATGGGTGCTTAAATTTGGCCTGTCATTCGAAGAAATGTATGGAGGGGGTTCTTGATTCCTCCCCTCTGCTTTGTGCTGCTGAGTTTTCCCATAGATAGTTAATCGGCGGAGCGGTGGGCTGGCATATGCCAGGAGTTTGCTCTCCCCCTCCCAGTCTGGAGGTGTGTCCCAGACATGATGATTTTTTTTCTTTGGGATCTTTTTTAATTTCCAGACAGTTACATATTTTAGAACATAGGCTCTTATTTTTCAGAGCCTGGTTTTGAGATCTGAACGTTGCAATTTCTTATTTATGTTAAGAATATTCAATAAAACTGTTACTGCTTTGTCTGTTTTGTCACTTCTCTGATGATTCCACCAAGTAACTAGATCTGCCTCTGGTCCGGCTGCAGAGTAGTTTGCTTTTTTAGCTGCTGCCTGCCGAGTTTTGACATGTTTATATTCCAAGTACTCTTGAGGACTGATTATTGCCTCTCCTTTTGACGCCATGGGTTTTTCGTTACCCCGGCTGCTGACCTTGAAGGGAACTTGCGTCTCCCCCCCCGAAATGCTTGTCAGCCTTTATGAGGAGTTACTTTTCCCCCTTTTTATGCTATGGTTTCAACTCTTCACGGCCTTGAATTTCATGAGGACGTCTCCCCACCCTTAATACCGCGCGTGTCTTCAATTACACACACATGCCGGACTTATTGGTTGGAGACTTCGTGCTATTCGAAAGCATGTACATTACATGCCTGGGGGGGGGGGGGCACTCCCCTAGGACTTGCAATGTTACGTGCAATGAGGAAATGGACCACCAGTTTGCACTGCCTACTGCTTGCGTACCCAGCCAATCCTGGGCTTAACTCACGGCCAATTGCTTGCTGGTGGGTTGTTCAAGTCCTCCGTAACACACCCCTTAGTTGTTTAAACAGTACATGACCCTCTTGCACAAGTCTTCCCTCCCAAGTGGTACCCTTATTTAACCCCACTGCTTTGACCACATGTGTCTAAGGTCCTTCACACAAATTAAAAAGGAAACAAGATGTGTCTGAAAGGGGATGAGAGACTTCTATCCCTGGCCTAATGAGGTGGTAAAGTAAACATACTCACCTCTTTTGGATTTCAGTCTCAGATCCTCAGCCAGTTCACAAACTTGCATCTCGGACGAGCCCCCAAACTGAAGGACATAAATCCACACCGTGTAGAGGTCAAAGCATAGGGGTTTATTACACACAGTGCTGGCGGAGTGTCACCTGGCTTATTAGGCTCAGAGACACTGTCAATCAATTAATTACAATAAAATATATAGATTTTCCATGGGCAGGGGAAGGTGACGGGGTAGGCAGTTCCACACCCCGGGATAGGTTTTGCAGCAAGACAAGATAGCACAATAGCCAATGGTTAAAAGATTACACAATGTCTCCGCCCATGGTCTCAAGTTAGCAAATTAACATTTAATTAATACTTTGATAAAATGTTATTAGTATAAAATATATATGTTGAATTCTAATTTGGGGTCCATAGGAATGAAGCAACTCCTTTAATTGTCCGACAGGTACATGTCTAGGGAAGAAAGCAAAGAAACAGTAAAAGCATATGGAAATAGAGATTGTCTCCTTTATGTCTTAAGGCAGGGCATTGGTCCCTTGGAAGGGAGGTGGAAGAATGCCATATCATTATAGTGACATGTGCCAATATTTCATAAACTCAAGGTTGGATCTGTGGGAAAACTGTTTTCCCTTCAGGAGAAACACAATAGGAACAGGGATCCTTTGTTCAATTTAAAACATTAGATGAAACATAATTATTCAGTTATTGCCTCAACATCTGGCATTTCTACTGACCAAGCATATCTTAGCAAAGGCAATGTTATCTTGTTTATTCTGCTTTTCTCTTAGCTAATCACTATTTGCACGGCTTCTGGTCTCCAGGACAAACTCTGGACTTTTGGGTCTAAGAAAAAGCTGGCAAATCCATATACCAGGCCATTATATAACATGCACATGGATTTTAACCCTTCAGTTTGAAATTTTATTTAACCATTTTGGCACCTGTGCACTCATTTTGTGCACCTGAGACCAGAACCTGAATATTACAAGAGCCTCTTATTGAGATTTTCAGCACAGTTTTGCTCATCTAATAAATTCAGATGTTTATTCAAAGCAAAGGGAATTTGGTTGTCATCTAAACCAAACCTCTGGAGGTTTGCAAGTCATTCAGGGCTTTTCTACACAGGGAGTAGCTATTCCTGATAAAATAGAGTGGATTAAACTAATTTGAAATATTGCACTCTTACTGCAGAATAAGAACATCCCACACATGGAGTCAATCAGCTTTCAGTTCACACTCTACCTTATTCTGGATTAATTTTCATATGTAGACAAGCCAATCGTGTTTGAAATATTTAATAAGTCCAGAAACCTATAACTAGAGTCCCTAATCACAAGCGTATGATAGTTTATTAAGCCAATTGTTAATGTAATAATTGTGTAACCCTTTGTCTCTTTGCTCTTCACTGTGCCACTCTGCTCTCTCCAGACATACCTGTGTTTCCCACCATCACGGCCACTGTGACGTTTCAGGAGTTTCGCTATGATGAGTTTGACGAATCCATCTTCACTATTCCTGATGACTATAAGGAGGACCCCAGCCGTTTTCCTGATCTCTAATTTAACTGGAAAGTTAATAACAATACCAGCATACCACAGTGAAAGCAAGTGGATGCAAATAGCCCACAGATATAGTTATAGATGTGGGTCAAAATGGAAGGGATAAACTTTTTTTAAATGATCCAGAAGAAAAGGGAACACACACATGACTGATGTACTGAAATTCACTATAATGGGCATCTAATCTAGTATCTGAATTACAGCAAATCTCCTGATGTGTCATTTACACTTTTATACATACAGTGCTGCGAGTGAGAGAGTTTGACACCTCAGTGACGCTAAGGATACTTTAACAGCTGTGAGGACTGTCATTTGTTTATAAATTTTTTACATTTGTTCTTGGTGATACAAAAAGCACTCTTGGACCATTAGCGCAAAAACTGAAATGTCTTAGCTGGATATTAGCCCTTTAAACATCCCACCTTGCACAAGGTGACCTTATAATATTCTTTCAAGCTGTTTTCATAAATTGTAAACTATGTAACATTATGTATAGTTCAGTAATTTGAATGTTAGTTGAACGTATATTAGAAGGAATGCATTTTCTGTAGATGAATGAACCAAATGGTAACCATTACACAATTGCATTTACACATTGCAATACACTTCAGAAATAGCATTCACTCTGCAGGGAATAAGGTACCTCCTTTAGCACCTTAGTGCAATCCATTGTGGTGCTATTCATGTTTTTATCTGAACTGTTATTTTTTTCACTGCAAGTTGTTTACTAATTTTCCTTTCAAAGAATTTACAAATACTCTCTCCCCCCACCCCCCTCACCTCCCTGCTAGTTTAAAAATCCTTGCTGTGTTCATGATATGGTGTTGATTAGCATGCTTGGAGATTCTTTATCTACCTAGAAATTGTATCACTTGCATTATTTTACTCTTGGTTAGGAGACTTGCCCCATAATAGCTGCACATCAACCAGGCTATTTTATATTGCTGTGGAGCAGCACACTGGAACATATTGGATGAATCAAGACACAATCTCAGACATTAGAGAAGTTAAGTGAAATAAAACTTATATCTTGAAAACCTAGTGTAATTGTAGGGCACATTTAATAGGACTCACAATGGAAAAATTAAAAATGTGCACTTTTCCAATACTTAGGGTGTAACTTCAGTTTCTTCCTCTTGCCACATAATGGAGTATGTTTATTTCTTAAAATAGGCATTAAAATCAGGAATTGTTTTGGATTTTTTAACTTATTCATTCCACGGTCCTAAATTTGAGGGTAATCTAGCTTTGTTTTGCTAGAAAGAATGTGTGCAGCTGGCTGGTAGTGCTAATTGTTTGTATGAGATTTATCTTCAAGTGCTGTGTGTCCAGAAATGTAAATTTTCAAACCCATACAGTAAATGTTAAACTTGAATATCTATAGTGAACCATCAATGCTTAGTAAAGGTAACCAATCTTCCTATTCAGGTGGATAATGAAATCAGACAGCTAAATCATGATACAGTAAAAGCAGACTTGTCAGCCACATTGATTTTATTGGGAAATAGTTAAAGTAGAATTCTTTCGAAGGGCGTTGGCCCCGTCTGTATAAAATCCTGTATAAAAGAAGCTGCCCTAGAGAGTTACAATATCCACAGTTGAAGGAGTCCTATCCCCTCACCCTCAATAGCAGTTGACTAAATGGACTGACAGGAGGAAATAAGGATGGTTGCTCTATTCCAGTGCATTTTAAACCTGTAAAAGGTTAACATTTGCCTATCTACATTGCAGATTGGTGACTGATACGCTAGAGAGAATTTGATCAGTTCTGAATGAAAATAAAAAGCACTAGTGAATTGTAAAATTGTTGCAGTTATTCCCAAAGTACCTAACCAATCACAGATGTTGAACATTTAGTAGGAGTGATGAGTTGTTCTTCCAGTGAATTAGGAGTCCCTCAGGTTTGACATTGATTACAGGAATTGGTACCTACCTTACATCCTCCCTTGGCATCAGCTGAAATCCTTAGCAATAAGTGAGACAGAATTATGTAGATGAAAATAGAATTATCTTGTCTGCTCTGTAGGTCAAGGTTAAGCTTCCGTAGGGCCCATTGTAGGAACTTACAATGCCACCCTAGCTATAACTGTTCTAAGGATAAATGGTGAGAGGGCTTCAGTATCCAGTGCTGTCAGTCCAGCATGGGTGACAAACCCTAAACCTGTTCCTACAATATTTGTATTTCTGAAACTAATGGATACACCTCACAACTTCAGTACTTAACTGTGTGGCAATTTCAGCAAAGACAAATTGGGATGTTTCTCAATGACAGAAATCAATAGTTGATTAAATCTTCCTTAGTATTACAAGAAAGGAACTAGTACTTTGATGTAAAAAAAGAAACCAACGCACAAGCCTGTATCATAAAAGCTGCACCCATAGGAAGAGATGCTGGAAGCTGAGTTTTATATTAAAGGCAATATAACTGGATTTTTTTTTTTTTTTTTAAATAAGCCTTGAGACAAAGTAGAGGGTACAATCCACCCCTGGTATGTGAGATCAGTAGTGGGCCTGAAGAGAGGACTGCCTTTTCCTCTAATGAACAGTTTGATTTAAAACTCATTGCAGTCTATGGAAACATGATATCAATGGGCTTACGATATTAGGACAATTAGGAATCATTTGACTGTAACCAGCTTTTGTTTCAGAACAGTTGCTATTAGATTCCAGTGACAGTCTCAATCAAATTTTAAGTAAGAATTAGCACAGTTGCTTGCATCTCAAATCCTTTGGGGATACCATAAACTGGCTTGACGTTCCCCGTGATGAATTTAAAAACACAGCTAGTGAAATGTGCGCTTTCAAGAGTGGCTTCCTAAATAATACACAGAAGGCATAAGTCTTAGCAAATGAGGGCTGATATGTGAGTGCAGGAGATCAGTGTTGTAGACCAACATCCATGGTTTAGCAGGAGTGAGCTGGCATAGCTCTCTTTCGGTTCCCTCCTGCCATGTAAAGGATAATTTTGTCCCCTCTAGAGAGAGTATGCAGCCACAGTACTTTTACAGAATGCATATACCACAGCTTGCTTCAGCAGCATAACAATGAACATGTCATGTAATAGTTTGAAAACTTTACGTATGCATGTAAAGGGATTTGTTACAAAAAGATACCCTGGAATGTGAAAGGCAGTTATCTGATTGTTTTAAAAAGCATGACATTTTTGGAAGTATGCTATTTGTATAATATCAACCATTGCTTAGTACTGCTGGGAAAACAACAAAAATGTTAATCTTCCACTATCATGGACATTCTAAAACAGTCAAGATTTAGCGATGCAAATTATGAATAATTACATGTCAATTTGAAAGTCAAGCTCTTAAAATTTCAAGATTCCTCACTGCGTGGGGAGGAGCAATCTCAGAGCAAGACTGAAGAAAGCCTAAATGTGAGGTACTTTTTAAAAATTAGCTGTTGGATCTGGCCCTATTTCTTAGTGGTGATTGAAATGTTTGATTCAGAATATTAAAAAACAGCCATTAAGTCTCAAACTGAAACAGAATGTTTGCAGGTTTCAGAGTAGCAGCCGTGTTAGTCTGTATCCGCAAAAAGAACAGGAGTACTTGTGGCACCTTAGAGACTAACAAATTTATTAGAGCATAAGTACTCCTGTTCTTTTTGCAGAATGTTTGCAAAGTCCTAGAACTGTTCCTTAAACAAACTCAGTTTTACTGGTCTTCCAAAACACTGCTTTAATTTGTGGTAAAGGGAATGCATTTTATTTTATTTTCAAGTAGCTGCTGTTCCAGTCACTCTATTCACTTTTATAACTGCAGTTCTTGACACATGTACTTATCAAATTGATTGTTACAAAACTGTTGATATATTTTCCTGGAAACCCACCTTAAGTTTGGTAATATATTCAAAGCAACTGTCAATTTTTAAATGTACGTGTTCTTGATTTTTTAATTAATGTAAGGATAATTACATTATTTAAACTTTAACAAATCTCCTGTAATGCTGCAGAGTCATTTATTTTCTTTAGACATTTGTAATTATCATGGAAATTTATGGTCACTTTTTTGCATTTTACTATTTGTGTGGTCTGTGTTCTTAACTTACCTTCACTAATAGTAATTTTTAGGTTGTATCATCTGTTAGAATAAAGACCAAAAGATGCTGTTTGATTCTGAAACTGAACATGTGAAAACTTTAACTATAACTCTGTACAGTACTTTACATAATATGTACATTGTAGGCACTTTGTACATGTTTGAGCAAGGATTGGGTTGAGGAAAGGTTGGGAGTGCTTCAGCTCATTCTGTAAGGATGTTTTATTGGTCAGTTTTTAAATAAAATATGAAGTTTTCAATATAACCCTGTTCCTTCCCATCTCTCATGTAGAATTTTGCTACTATACCTTAACTTTTATTCTGAGTATCTTCACAAGAAGGTTCTGATCCTGAGAAGATATAGTTCCACTTGAAATCAATTTGTTGGTAGGATCTGCATCCAACTAAAAACCCACTTCCAAACCACTGCCCTTAAGCAACAGTAGATTTAAAAAAAATAATGGGAGGCCAGGGTTTCACATATTAGAATTCACTTTCCATTAAAGAGCCTGATGTATGCAATTTCTCTCACTCAATAATGATTGGAAGCATGTCATTTAAAATAGATCTGGAAGAAGGTGATGAGGGAGAACAGACGACTCAACTCTCCTTTCATTGTTTGCCTTCAAGACATGAAGCCTATAAATTGGGTCTTCAAAACCCACATTAAAAATTGAGCTTAACCCTAGAATGGGTAGGCAACCTATGGCATGCTGATTTTTTAGAGGCACTCAGACTGCCCGGGTCCTGGCCACCGGCCCAGGGGGTCTCTGCATTTTAATTTAATTTTAAATTTACTTTACATACAACAATAGTTTACTTGTATTATAGACCTATAGAAAGAGACCTTCTAAAAACATTAATGTATTACTGGCACACGAAACCTTAAATTAGAGTGAATCAATGAAGACTCGGCACACCACTTCTGAAAGGCTGCGGACCCCTGCCCTAGAATGTGGAGTGGAAACAATTTTATTGCAAGACTAGAGTGATGACAGTGCCTGAGGAGGAAAATTATTTTTAGTCACACCGCTTAACTTTTTATAGATGTAAATTTCAATAACACTTTGGAGAAAGGCTATCTGATTCCTTAACATCTTAAAGGAGCCAGAGGTGTTACCTCACGCACATACAGAGCAGGCAATTTACAAGCTTTACATCAAAGCAGCAAAAGCAGGGAGAAAGACGATCCTTCGAAGGCCAAACACTATGGT